TGGTTCTGCAGTAGGGCCCCGTGGGGCCAGCATCAGGAGGCAGCAGCCTAGAGTTCTCACCTGGTTGTATGACCTGCTGAGCTGCGACCAGCTTACAGGGCACATTCCACAGCACTCGGTCCCACTGCTGCGTGGCGATTAGACTAGACGTAAACACGGAGGGAGGGAGCACTGTGGGCCGGCCACACAGGCCTCCTGAGTGCACTGTTTCCATTTCATGTCCATGTCCCTTCCACAGCACAGGACAGGAGATTCCTCCTACATCATGGCGGCTTCAGTCACGTGTCTCCACAAGTTTTAAAGGCTTATCTGGTTATCAAAGCAAAGGAAACCCCCATTCTCTGAATGGGTGGCTTTCAAAGACATGGAGCCAGGATCCAGGATACCTTGAGCTCCAGCCTGTCCCTGTGCATTCTGCCCCTGAGCCATTGGACTCTGCAGTCCAGCTAGGCAGTGACTGCCCTGCTTAATTAAGTCAGGAGCCCACAGGTGAGAACACAGAGATTTCTGCATTCGGCCCTCCTTGCCCACCTGATCAGCCTCTTCCCATCCCAAGAGTCTGACCTGACCCTGACATTTAATGCCTGGGCCGGAGCCACAGCCCTGGCTTCCCCAACCTAAGGTGAGTTTAAACTAGCAACTTTCTATTCGCTGTCTTGGGCCATGGCTCACTTGGGCTAGGCCGAGGCAGGTTCCTGTCTTGGGAGGGATGGGAGGCCACACCCTGAGCCAACTCTTCACTCCCCAGGCCTAGTAGAAAGAACATTCTAGGCCAGGCGTCTGAGAAAAGGGACGCCTCTGTTGTGTGATGGCTCCTTGGGCATCTTTGCCCTCCAGGGAACGTGAGGGCTGAGATCCTGACAGGTGGTTAACATGCAAATAGTGGGCATAATTATGAGTTCCTCAGGTTCCATCTCTGCCCACAAGACTGCTCCTTGAGTGTGCAAGCCACTGCGGAATCCCCTGCCCCTCCAGTCCTCACTCCTCCACAGCTAAAGTGGTGGCCTTGCCACGCTGCAGATGCTGACCCTCCCTGCCTTTCCCTGCCTGCTTGCCATGCTTCCATCCAGAGCCTCTGCACATGCTGTTCCCTGGTCCTGGAACTCGCCTGGCTGACTGCCTGCTTCCTCTCACAGCTCAGGCAAGCCCGCCCTATCCCCTCCCAAGTCCCTCCATTGTCTGCTGCCACAGTGCTGTCCTCAAGTTGTCACCTTGTCTATCAAGTGTAACCTTGGAGGCACTTGATGCAGCTCCCAGTATTATTAGTTCTTCTCCAGGGAAGGGATCAGGTTTAAATTTCCATTTCCCAGCCCTAAGGCCAGGCCCCTGCTGTTACCCCCAAAGCCTAGGCCCCCACCTGCCCTTACTTCCCCCAGGTTGCCCTCTCCCCACCATTTCCTGCCAACCACCCAGCTCCGTGGCAGTTCCAGGAGCTTGGGCTGAAGGATGCCAGGCCCTGGCCTTGGCCCTGGGTAAACAAGCAGGGACAGCCCCGGACAGCCCCAAACGACTGGGTCATGGACAAAGATGAGGTAAAGAGGTCATTCCTGACGGTGCAAAGTGCTGTGCGCACAAGAGAACTGGGCTGTGTGATAGACCGACTGCAGACAAGGCTGCCTGGGGCCCAGTGGTTGGGAAGGCCATGTCCCCAGGAGAAGGGGGAGACGGTATTGTCGCTCCCACTTCACAGATGAGGGGTCTGAGCCCTGCCATTGGGCCTTCCTCCAGGATGGGGGAAAACTTCAAACCTGAAGCCTAAAGAGCCTGGGGCAAACCCCTCCTGCAGGCCACCTCCCAACCCAGGCCCACTTCTGTCCAGCCAGGGCTGTAAGGGCTCTGAGCCACAGGCCGGCCACACCAGAAGTGTGTCTGTCCCTGTGTGTCCTGCATTTCTGCTTTCCTGCCTTGGCCTCTGCCTGTTTCTCTCTCCCCCACCTTCCCTCTTCCAATCTCTGTCTCTGCATTTGTCTGAGTGTCTATGACTCTGCATTTGTCTGAGTGTCTGTGACTCTGCACTTGTCTGAGTGTCTGTGACTCTGCACCTGTCCTACCATGCATCTACTCCTACATCCCAGTTTCCTCACACATCCTTCTCCCTGCACCTCAGTCCTCTCCATTCTGTGTTTCTGGAATGTGGAGGTGTGGTTGGTGGGGCGTGGTCTGCAGAGGGCGGGGTTGGGTGAGGGCGTGATTTGAGGAGGAGGGAGGATGAAGGGGGTCTTCCCAGACACTACCTCCAGGATGCACTCCAGCCTTCCTCTGGCTGCCACCTTTCCAGTCTTGCCCAACCTGGGACTTCTGTGCTTGCCTCAGCCTCCCAGGAATGAGGTGCCACCCCGGCTCGCCCTGCATCTGTCCTTCTGACCTCTGTGTACGGCGGGACCCCTGACCCCTAGTCCCCATGCTGGTCTCCGGGGATTGGCCTTCACTGCCCCTCCTCCCCACAACAGCACTGGGAGCACCTGGAGCACACTGCAAGGAAGAATGGGCTCGAAACCAGGGTCCTAGTTTCCTCCACTCAGCCCGGCTCCCGCCCACCCACCCAGCTGGCTGGCTGTTCAGAGCAGACACAGGAACATAGAAGATGTGGACACTCACCCCACAAGCGGCTGGCATGGGCAGCGGGACAAGGCTAGGGCCCCACTCTAGCCAGAGCATCCAGCACATTCCTGTGGGGCAAGGACGCCCGGGGAACCCCTGCTCAGGCAACAGTTTTACAGCCTTTTCATTACCTACAGGAGTATCTGCTTGAGTGTGTCTGGGCTTTTCAGCCCAAAGGAAGCAATGTGGTTGCCGGCTAGTCTCTCTGACTCCAGGCCTTCCTGTCCAGCCAGCATGGGCCTCCATGTGTCCCCACGTATGAGGCATTGTCATCCCATTTTTCCCACAGGAGAGTCCAGACTCACCTCTCTTCCCTTCATTCTGCTATATTTATAGAGCTCCAAGGTGCCAGGATGTGCTTGGAACATGGTCCATGCCCACAGGGGGCTCGCATTACCTTTTGGGGATGGAAGGAAGGACTGAAATTTTTCTGAGGCCCCCCCAAGTGCTCCAGCAGAGAGGGAGGGCTCAGCTCAGCCTAATGTGGGTCTCTCTCTCCACCTGACCTAACCCACAGTACAAGCATCCAGGCCCCATCCTGGTAGAGTGTATACTGGGCTCAATTGTATCCCCTCCCAAAAATATGTTGAAGTCCTATCCCCAATACCTGCGAGGAATGTGCCTTTATCTGAGAAAAAGGTCTTTGCAGATGTAATTATGGTAAGGATCTTGAAATGAGATCATCCTGGATGAGGGTGTCTCTATAAGACACAGATACACAGGGGAGGCCATGTGAACACAGAGGCAGAGGTTGGAGTGATATGTCTATGAGCCAAGGACTCCAAGGTTTACCAGCAGCCACAAGCAGCTGGTAGAGGCAGGAAGGATCCTTACTGAGACCCCGGAAAGAACCAATCTGCTGACACTTTGATTTTTGGACTTATGGCTTCTAGACTATGAGAGAAAATTTTCTGTTGCTTTAAGTCTCCTAGTTTGTAGAACCTTATTATGGCAGCCCTAGCAAACTAATACAGAGAGTGAGCTCCCCATTGCAGGAGGCATGCAAGCAGTGGGTGGGTGGGTAAGGGCATTGTAGGGAGAAGCAGCCTTGGGGACTCAATGCATCTATCCATCCATCATTCAGAATAAGTGGAGAAAACGGTCATGAAGCAGCACCTGCTGCCACAGCGTTTCCATCTGGCCAATGCAGCATGGGATCTCCTTTAATCTTCACCTGCTCCCCAGGAGGGCAGCGTAGCCCTGCTCACAGGTGCAGATGCAGCGACCCAGAGAGAGCAATTCTGTGGAGGAGCTGGAAGAGGCCAGGTGTCCCACTGCCTTCTCTAGCCCCTCCCTTCTGAGGGGGTCTTCATATTATGGTTTCAAACTTAGAGAATGGTGCCATAATGGTGTACATTCTGGCACCCGCCAGCAGGCAAAGAAAGACTGGAAGGCAGGTTGACAACCTCCCTCCACCCCCCAGACTCCTCAGACTCCTCAGACTCCTCAGCTGGACAGGCAGCTTTATTTTAATTTTTTCCCCCCTCTTTAATTCCCCCACACACTTCGACCCCTGACCTATGGATATTGCCGTTTTCCCCTTAAGAACTGGATCTCTGAAGGCAGGACGTCTCTTCCCACACGCTCGCGGCGTGCATCCGGGGCCTGGTGCACCCGGGGTATGATCCGTGGCTCCAACTGGGGTGTGAACCCAGGACCTTCTGCATGTAAAGCAGACATGCTAACCACTACACTACGGAGCCACTCCCCTCAGCTGGACATTTTAGACCAAGGGTCCCCAACTCCAGGTACTGGTCCGTGGCCTATTAGGAGCTGGGCCGCACAGCAGGAGGTGAGCGGCAGGCTATGAGCTAAGCTTCATCAGTATTTGCAGCCGCTCCCCAGCACTAGCATCACCGCCTCAGCTCTACCTCAGATCATCAGGTACTAGATTCTCATAGGAGCATCGGCCCCTGGTGCCAAAAAGGTTGGGGATTGCTGTGTTAGACTCTGATTCAAGAGGACCAGGGCAGGCAAGGTCCTCAGCCTTTGCAAGATCTGGCTCCAAACTCTCTCCTTTTCAGGATAACAAAGGCACCCCCCAGCACTCTCCTTCCCAGCCAGCAGCACTGAGTGGTGGGGCACAGGTAGGCTTCTAGGGCCTCCTTGAATAAAGCTTCCTAGGGTCCACTGTACCTAAGTTTCCAAGGCATTCTCACCCCCTTCATCTCAGACTTTTTAGCTTGAACTTTTGTTGAATAAAACCACAGGAGCCCAAATGGAAACCTGAAGACGCTCACTGTCCCAGCCCCCCACGTCTCTCCTGGAACATTTCCCCCATGGGCAGAAGGGGAAAGACACTGGTGTCCACCTGATCTTGATCATCTTAGATAAAAAATGGAGCCAACCTCATATACACTGACAGGGGACAGGAGAAAACCCTGGAGGAGCGCTGTGCCATGGCGTGGAATGAGCGACCCCGCCCCAGGTACCCAGGTTACTAGGTCCAGATATCAAAAACATATAAGTGGAATCAAAACAGCAAATTGCAAAAGAATACTCAGCCTGTAAAACCCTTTTACAGAGGGTTTGAGAATGTCACAGGCAAGACCTGTTTACAGCTCCATCTACAGGTGCTTAGCCTGGGATAGGGTCCCTCTAGGTGAGGGAGGAAGGGTAACAGAATACAGTGACAATTTGGTGGGGGTGAGAGCGGGGCTGGAGTTGAGGGTGGGCCCGGCCCGCCCTGAGCTGGGGAGGAGAGGAAGGTGGGGAGGGGAGGAGGAAGCAGCAGCTGGGCACTTCCCAAGGAGGAAGCGGTGCAGGATTTTCCCCAGGTGTGGCTGAAGTATAAAGGGCGCTGTGAGCCGGCCACTGCCAGGTGCACCCCAGGACCACAGCCAGGTGTGTCCTGGACTGCCACCAGGGACATACCAGCCGCTCAGGCCCAGCCGCCACCACCACAATGGTGAGCCTCTCCCCACACACCCACCTGGACAGTGTTATCTGGCCCAGAAGGGTTGGCGGTTTCCTGAACCCCAAGCTAAGGATGTTGGGATGAGGTCCAGGAAGCCCCCCCAAATCTTGAGGCAGGAGCCAGGACCCAGGAGCCCTGGTATGCTGGAGAGCTAGGGCTAAGGGGCTAGCCTTTCTGAGCTTCAGTTTCCCCAGCTATGAAGGGTGGGTTGTACCCCAACTTTCCATAGGGAACAGGGAAAGTCGGAGTGGCAGCAAGGTGCCCCCTTCACTGGGCACTCCCTGACCACCTACCACCTGTTCCATCAGCTCTTCTCTGGCCTCCTGCTTCTGCTCTGGCTGCCTGCCACCCTGGCCCACCATGGAACCTCACTCTGGAGAAGCCCCCACGCCCACACCCATGGGACCCCACGCTGCTACTCAGCCGAGGAGCTGCCCCTAGGCCAGGCCCCAGCACATATGCTGGCTCGAGCTGCCAAGTGGGAGCAGTCTTTACCTGTAGCCCTGGTGTCCAGCCTGGAGGCGGTGGACCGCAGGAAGCGGCATGAGAAACCCCAGGCTGGGACCCGGTGCCCGGTGCTGCGACCGGAGGAAGTATTGGAAGCTGACATCCACCAGCGCTCCATCTCTCCCTGGAGATACCGGTGAGGACTGTGGGGGCTCCCTGGGCACTGAGATCTCTGCTGTGTGGCATTGGGCTCCCTTCCTTCTCTGGGTACTGGCTTCCTGAACCTTCCTGAACCTCAGTGTTTTCACCTGTTAAATGGGATAAGCATGCTGACCTCCATACAGCCAGCCCCCATGGGAGGTGGGGCTCCATCAGATGAGCTCCTCCTTTCCACTCTTGTCTCCAAGATCTTAGCCCAGACCTTGGGTATCAGGGTCACTTGGGAAAATTCTGAGGTCCCCATTTGAGCCCCTATAGAGATTGGGCTAGGCCCAGTGGGGACGGACGGGGCTTCTGGAAGCCCTCTACCCCAGCTTCTGTGCTCTGGGAGAGCACTGGGGTCACGGGTCATCTTCACCCAGTGAGCATCGACTGCATGCCAGCCCTCCGGATGCCCTGCACCATCCTGATGCCTCAGCCCTCAGGCCAGCAGCACCCCTGAGCACATGAGGCAGCCATGGGGGGTGGGTAGGAAAAGAGGGATGCACCCGTCAAGGCTCTGGGGCTCAGCTTCATCCATCTGTCCCTTTAGCGTGGACACGGACGAGAGCCGCTACCCGCAGAAGCTGGCCGTTGCCGAGTGCCTGTGCAGGGGCTGCATCAGCACCAAGACCGGCAGAGAGACTGCTGCTCTCAACTCCGTCCCGCTGCACCAGAGCCTGCTGGTGCTGCGCCGCCGGCCCTGCTCCCAGGACGCCACGGGGACACCCACTCCCGGGGCCTTCGCCTTCCACACCGAGTCCATCCGTGTGCCCGTCGGCTGCACCTGCGTCCTGCCCAGGGCGGCGTGGTGACTGCCAGCCTCAGCTCTTCCCCCCTGGGATCACCTCCCAGACTGGACAGTGGGGATCTCTCTGTGGAGAGGGTCCCTCCTATTTATGTGTATTTATTGGTTATTTATATGCCCTAAGTGACTCTGCTTCCACTGCCCGGGGGCCCTGGGCAGGTACCAGGGCTCTGGGCCTCTGGTTTGAGCTAAGAACAGTGGAGACCAGCCACTGGAAGGACCAGGTGACCCTGTGCTGATCAGGCCCCACCTGGATACTCAGACACCCTGTCACAAAAAGTTGGACTAGAAAGAACCTTGTTACTCTTCTAGAACTTCTTAAAACAACGGAAAAGGTGTTCTGCTGGTTCCCAGCTTGGCAGTCCCCCTGAGCTCCCCTCATCCCCTCACCCTATCACTGGTCTCAGGCTGGTCCAGGCCACCCCAAGCTCCTACTTCCCAGCCCCCCTGTATCTCTAAAACAATTATTTATAGTAAATGTAAATATGTTATTATATATGGTAAACGTAAATATTAAATTGATAAACAGCCCCCAGAGCACAGCATTGAATGGCACAGATGTAGGGATGAAAGCACCCTTCTCACCCTCACCCCTGCCTGGCTGGCAGCCAGCTGGCCCCACAGGGGCAACCACAGGCCCGATTCTGGTATATCCTTCCAGGAAGGTCTCTGCATAAACCCCTAGTGCATCCAGGATGGGGGAAAGGCTTTGAACAGAGTGGAACAGAGAGGCGTGCCCTGCTGGCACCTGTGGTTTCCACCTGGTGATACCTCCTAGTGATAGCTCTGGGTCCCAGGGATGGGCCTCCCTCCCACAGCCCAGCGGTGATGTAGGCAGGCCCTCCTGTACCTACCGGCCAAGGGCGTGACCGGGCCTGTGCTGTGACAGTGAGCACCTACGGACATACCTCTCTGCCTGAGGAACAGGTGTCTCTGAGGGTAACTCCTAGAGGGTGTCAGCTCAGTGGGGCATAGCTGCAGGTGTCTGAGTCATTATCCCCCAGCCCCAGCAGAGGCCCAGGCAGTTCCAAAAGCCAGTGCCGTGGCCTGGACACCAGCTCGGGCTTCTGTTCATTGCTGGCAACCTGCCAGTCTAGGGGCAGCAAAGCTAGCTAGCACCCCCAGGCCAGGTGCCCCACTGGCCGCCTGATGACCTGGCCTGTACTTTCACTATATGGTTCCTGGATTAGCACATTTGGCATGTTAAAATTGAAGGCATTTAGTTAAGGAGCCCAGGAGTGCGTGTCCTCAGCAGTTGTGGAAGGGGCCTTGGGGTAGTTCTCGCTCAGATACAACCCCCTGTGGAGCCTCAGTTTCCCCATCTGTAATGCATAGGCCCAATCGGTTCTAAGGGTTCCTTGGGCTGCGGGGGCAGGGGGTGCTGCTACAAGGCCGTTGTCAGCATCTCCCTGCCTGGCCAATCATTTTCACCTACTGATTAACACCTATTATGTTATGCAAGCACCCAGGAAGAGGGGCCGGGTGATCTTTGTCTTGAGCCTGGAAGGACTGTGGGCTCAGTACATATTTATGAACTGGGAATAGGGCGGTAAACAAAATGGACAGATCTCTGCCTGCCCGCATGCAGGTGACCGACCACCACAGAACAACCAGTAAAGTGCTTGGTCGGTTAGCGGTGAAAGAATTAAGGACAGCGAAGCAGGGAAGGGGGAGGGACTGCAATTCCAAACCGGTTCAGGGGAGCTCCCCCTGGAGGTCACCTGAGCAAAGGCCAGATGGCCAGCCAGGGACCTGTGCTCCGGGCAGAGGGAACAGCCCGTGCAAAGGCCCTGAGAAGGCAGTGTGCCTGTGTCTGATGGTCAAGGGAGGTCACTGTGGCTGGAACCAAGGAAGCAGGAAGTGACCGTGGGGTTTAGGTATAGAGGGTGTCCATCCTGGGCTGTGGAAGCCTGTGGGTTCTGAGCAGGCACAGGCAGGGTCAGCCGCAGTGCTGGGAATGGCCTGCAAGGAGCAGGGCAGAGTGTGGAGAAGACAAGCAGCAGATTCACACTGAAGACAGAGCCCTCACAGGGTATGAAGTGGATAAAGGGTAAGTCGAGGGGGTCTGAGGTTTTACTGACCTTCTGGAAGGCCGGAGTGGCCATTTTCTGGGGCAGGGCTGGTGCAGTGGTGTTGGCCCTGGAACATTAGACGACCCCCAGTTTTGAAAGTAGGATTTGCTGAGAGGTGGTAGGGCAAACAGGAGGTGAGGGTTTAAAGGACTTTTCCAGACTTCGGGGGAGTGGGTACCTGGGGAGAACCCACTGAGGAGGAAGGAGCTTCCTAGCTAGGGTGTGAGCTGAAGCCAGGCAAAGCTTGGGGGCCACAGGGGTTTCTGCTTGGGAAGCAACAGGCAGCGACCAGGAGGACCACGCCCAGCCCTGGTAAGAGAGAGAGAAAAAGAGAGGAATAGAGGAGGGGGTCGGGGAGAGAGAGAGAGAGAGAGAGAGAGAGAGAGAGAGAGAGAGGTGTGTGTTTGCAGCCTCAGGACTGAAGAGGCAGGGCAGGTCTGAAGCCTTGCCCTCCGGTTGGCCTAGCCATCTGGGGTGACACCAAGATGAAAGGGCACGAAGGCGAAGGCCTGCTGGGCTCCCTGCCCTCTCCCTTGCTAATCCGCTTTACCTCTTCACTCAGCCCCTTGGGTGAGTCCGAGCAGGTCCAGGAGAGCTGGTGAGGGCACACGCACTCCCTCCTCCCAGGCCCAGGAGTTTCATTTCCAGAGTAGAAACTCAAATACTTGGAATTCCAGATACTGTATTTCATGAACTAGAAGATGCTCCATAATTTCTGGAGAAGGATGACAGGCTGCTTCGAATGACACCAAAAGGGGGCTTGTGGTTCTGCAGGGCAGGAAAGGGGGTACCCTCTGCGTTTGGGTGCCCCCCCAGAAGAGCTACTCGAGACAGCAGCCACTCGGGGAGCAGCTCACGGTGTCTGTCACACGACCTCATCTGTCACTGGAATGGGGTTTTCCTGGGGGCCGCTGGGAGCCCCCGCCACCACCTCCTCCCCCTCCTCGCTGGGCTTCTTGCGGGCCTCAGCGGGCGGCCGGGGTGGGGGGTTGCTGGGCGGCTGCTTGATGGTGCCTCCAACCTGTGGCCGCTCTTTGGGCTTGGGCTCGATGGGGGTCCACTGCTCACCACGGGTGGCTGCCTGCAGGACACAGAGGGGCTAGGCCTATGAGCCTCCAGGGACTGCCCCCACACTGGCCCCTGCCTCTGCACTCCCTGACCCACCAGGGTACGGAGCAGTACCAGGTCTGAATCCAATAAGACTTGAGGGGACTGCAGCTCAGAGAGGTTAAGTGACTGGCCTAAGGCCACACAGCAAGGACCTGGCTCTGCCTGACCCCAAACTGGAGCTATTCCACCATGCTGGGATGGTTCCATGGGGTAGGCAGGGGGAAAGGAATCCCTGGGTTTCTGAAAGATCTCTTGGGGACCACTTCCAGATACACATTCCCAGGCTCTCCCCGGGAGCAGGACAGAGAGGCCAGACCTGTGTGTCCATGAGTTAGGAGGCCAGGCAGCACGCATGGTGGGAGAGGCCCAGTAGAGCAGCCAAGGAGGGCAGGGGCCCACTCACCCTGGACCCATCCTGGAATGGAGCCTCCCCGAGGGCACTAGACCTGCTGGGAGGTGAAAAGTGTGCAGCACAGGGAACTTGCTAAAATGCACTCAGGCCCCTTGGGTCACCACCGTCCCCATTACAGATTGAGCAAGGACACAGGCTCTTGGCCTTGGCTCAGCCTACAGGAGGCTGCAGGGGCTGAGAAGCTGAGCATCAGCTGGGCTGACCACAGACCACAACACTCACCAGCAGATAGATGACGCTCGCAATGGCCAAGCAGGCTGTGCCCAGGATGGTGGCAAGCAGGAAGCCAGCCGGTACTGAGAGCCTGGGGGTGGGTGGGAGGATGGGAGACTCAGAAGGGCAGTTAGAAGGAGTCTGCAGGGAGCTAGGTCTTGGGCAGAGGCCACAAGATACCAGGACAAAACAGACCGTAAATGCGCTGTCCCCAGGACAAGTGGATGGAGGGGACACCTGGCTCTGCCAAATGCTGGGCTTTTAAGTTTGGGCCCCTGGAGCTATACTCTGCCTTTACTTGTACCCTAACAATCGTGGGATCCTTGCTCTTGGCCCCAGCTGCCATGCTGGGAGGTCCCAGCAGCTGCAGAGGCACGTGGGTATTCCAGCCTGCTGCAGTCACCACCTGACACACGTGTTAGGCAGCCTGCAGAAGCACCCAGCTGTGCCCCATCAACCCCAGAACCCTGACTGTTCCTGATTTGAGCTACTAAGGTTCGGGGCAAATTGTTATGCAGCGAGAGATGAAGACTACAGGTTCAGAGAGCCTCTGGCAGAGCCCGGGTCCTGGCTTTTGTCTGGAAAAACAGCTGGGCAAAGAGGGGCCTGACTTGCCCCTCCTGTCCAGGCCAGTCCAGTTGGAAGGATCTACTCCAGGGTGCTCCTGAGCCTGGGAATGGGCGTGGACTCACCCGAGGTGCAGGAAGGCACGGAAGTAGTAATTCCTGGAGAGGGGCCCGAACAACTTCACCACTTTCGTCATGTACTTCTGTCCACTAGGCCGAGGGAGGGGGGAAGACAGACTGAGTCCTATTCGGTACCCTACCCCGCCCCACCCCCACCTCAGAGCACCCTAGCTTCTTCCCTTTCAGAGACCATGGAGCCACAGCAGTTAGGCGGACACCAAGGGCAAACGGGTTGGTGCTAGAGCTTCAGAGGGATGGGACTAGGCTCCTGCAGAGTTCATTGCCTAGTGTCCCGCCCTTGTGAGTTCCACCCATCCCCGGGATGGACCCCAAGCAAATGGGGGACTCACCATCTCTCCATGGTGGAGCCCTTTCTCCTCTTCCCCCGGGGGTACTCCAGGAGGCAGATGAACACACCTGCCACGCTGAGGCTGCAGTTAAGGAATAGCCAGCGTCAGCCGTCTCTTTGCCGATGAGAAATAAGAGAGGTACGGCAGTGGCCTGGGTCACAGCCGGGGAACAACTAGGCGAGATTCCACAGGTCTGGCCACTTCACTGCCTGTCCTGCCTTGGTTTCCAGAGGGCCTGGAACAGCTGGCTTCAGGGCAGGAGGGGACAGAGGGGGCCCAGCCTGCTCTGACAGAACTGGGCAAGCCCACTGGGGTGGCTGATAGAAAAAGGTGCAGAGGGGATCCCTGGGGGTGCTGACACCTCCCACCCCCTCACCAAGATGCAGGCAAGTTGCTCCCCTGATGAGCTTTGGCTCCCAACACTGCAGCTGAGCCCATCCTGAGAGTCTAAAGGGCCTGGGGATGTGAGCAGCACTCTGCAAACCGTGAAACACTGTACCCCCAAAGGCAGTGACACCTTTACCCCCAGCCTACTAGTGCTGCTCCCAGTGGTGCCTCACCCCTACCCAGTTTTGGGGTTTACAATGGGAGGATACATGGAGTAGGCGCCAAAGTACCATTGAGTGAACTGGCCGGCAGTGGCCACGATGCCACCCGTGATGAGGACTGTGGGCAGAGGAGAAGCGGGTTAGTAGGAGCCCCCCACTAGTAGGAGGGGCATGCCTCCACTCTATCCCCGCAGGATTGGGGATCGCATGGGGCTCTGGTCACCTCCCCTTGTAATGCCCCCTCCCGTGGCTGGGCCACCAGTCCCCGACAGAGCTACCCTCAAGTTCATCAACACTTTTGCCCAGTCAGAGGACCCAGGTGCCTGCAGACCCAAAGATAATGAGGGACACAGAGGAAGTGGCACAGGAGCTGGACAAGGGGCTGAAGGAGCCAGGCACTGATGGAGCCCAGCCTGTGTCCTAGGAGTTGTGCGAGGAGAGTCGGCTTCTGAGCCCTGAGCAGGAGGGGCCTGCACTCCAGCCTGGACACTCACTCATGAGCTCTGCTAACCCTTGTCATTTTCAGGTTTTGCTTTATGCATTTACAGACTACATTATCAACTTCTGGTCTTATGTCTGCTCCACAGATGGATGGATGGCCTCTCCTCATCGCAGGGGGTGCCTGTTTGCCCTATCCCTGTGTATCACCTTAATTTCAGTTTTGTCTGATACTGGTATCCACACACTTTTCTTTGGTTAGTATTTGTTAGCTATTCCAACCCCTTCATTTTCAGTTCTGTGTGGTCCAGCTGTAAGTGGCATATATTTAGATCTTTTCTCCCCAGTCATTTTTTTGCAACCTTTTTATTGTAAAATATACGCAAGTAAAAATTTCCATTTTAGCTATTTGAAATCAAACAGCTCAGTGGCATTAAGTACATACACACTGTTGTGCAACCATCACCACCATCCATCCCCAGAATTTCCAGCAATTTATTGAGGTATAATTATTACACACAGTAAAATACACAGGTATAAGCTTGATGACTTTTTACACGTGTGTATCCCAGGTGACCTCCACCCAAGTCAAGATTCCCATCATCCCAGAAAGTTGTCTCGTGCTCCTGTCAACACTGGAACCCTAGATCTGGCTTCTTTTGCTCAATGGAAGGAAGGCTGTCAAGGTCATTCATGTGGTTTGGGTGGATCACTAGCTTGCTCTTTTCCTTATTAAGTAGTTTTTTTATGGTATGAATCAACCACGATTTATCCATTCTTTCGTCTTTGGGAAATTTCAGTTGCTTCTAGTTTTTGGCTATCATGAATAAGCTGATATAGATGAATTTTTTATATGTTAATCAACCTGAGGGTGAATTTAACAGATTTTATTGACTATGATTACGGATAATTGGCACTTATTTTATCTTATTTTGTGTTTTCTCTTTAACAGGTGTTTTTGTTGCTTCTCCTGTCTCCTGCTGACTTGATCAAATTTTGATTTTAAAATTCCTCTTCCTGAACCACATGTGGACTTTAAAATGTTTAACTTCAATCTCATTCTCAAATTACCTATTATTATTAATTATTTACAGTCAATACTTAGTCACCAATGTCTTCATTCTTGCATCCCAGTCTTTTCTTCTGGATTCAAAATTCAACTTTCCTCTTTCTGAAGTACATCCTTTAGTAGTCCTTTCCGTGATAGTATGTTAGCAGCAATTCTCTGGATATCTGAAAATGCCCTCATTCTGGAATGATGGTTCATCTGGATATTGAATTTATGTTTTCGTCTCAGCACCAAAGATATTATTCCCTTGTCTTCTGGCATCTATTACTGATGATGAGAAGTCTGAAATTAGTCTGATACTAATCCATTTTTTTCTCTGGTAAATTTAAAGACTCTCTTTAATGGTCTGTAATTTCGTTACAGTGTGTCCAGGAAGGGATTTGTTTTCCTTTATTCTGTAAGGAACTTTGTTTTCTCTTTCAGTTCTGGAAATGCTCACCCATTTCCCCTTCTATATTGCCTCCCTCCATTCTATTGATTATCTCTTCTGGAACCCCCATTACACATATGTTGCATCTTTTTGTACTATTGTACATGACTTAACTTCTTTTAGCTACATTCGGTGAGGCTTCCTCCGATCCATCTTCCACTTCGTTATTTCTCTCTTCATCTCTTTATAGATAATTCATCCATTAACCTTTAATGACTTTATATATTTTTATTTCTAGACATCCTATATTAGTTATTTTTCCATTGTCCTGTGTAATTTTCTATTCTATCTCCTCGAACAGTTTTAAATATACCCATATGTTTAAGAATGTACACATATTCTCAAGTCTTTTCCAAGTGGCACTGGTAGTTCTAGTTCTAAGGAGGCACATTCTCCTGTTTATGGTGTCTGCTTCCTCAAATGGTGGCTATGTTTATGAGCTGTGCCCAGCAGTGTCTGCTTTTGTGTGACAGTCTGTGTACCCTGGGTGAGGAAATGCCCTTATAGAACAGTTTCATATTTGCCTCTGCTGGAGGCCTAAGGGTTTCTCCAGTTCTGAATCGAATTTATCTGAATTTTTTGGTCAGTGGTCTTTACAGTACAGGGTAGGGCAGATTCAGCCCTCACCCTATGCACAACACAGGTCTGAGTTTTCGGGGGTTTTGTCTTGTTCATTACTTTTTTTATCCAGGCCCTGGCAGCAGATGGCGTGCTTCCTTGCGGAGTGGGGAGGGGAGGGACAGTTTTCTAATTTGTTTATAAAGCAGTCTTTTCCAGCTCTGGCCTGAGGCATGCACCTCACTTTCAGACTTTTTCACACAGAGACCCCCAAATCCCACTTGGTAAAAGCCTGAGCCCCTGCTGGTCCCAATTCTCCAGGTACCCCTTCCTTCCACCCCAGCCCATCACCTTGAAACTTCACTCTGCTTTTGTGGCCAGTGGATTTCCTATTCTTGGAGTTGAGTTCAGCTACATATTAACTCTTGGTTTGCTCATTAGCACTTCTGTGAGTTGGAAGAAGGAAGGGCAGTCCATTCACCTTTGGGGGTATAATTTTCCCATCCTGAACCTCAATTTTGCTGCTTGCCATCCGCAAAAGGGGAGCAAAGACACCACTGGCTCGCCAGGGAATCGTGAGGGCTGACAGAGCACTACTGTGTGCAGGGCCTCTTGTAGGTGCAGGCACGCAGTGGGGCTAAGACGGATAAGGCCTCAGCTCTCATGGGACTTACAAACTCAGGAGGGGATAAAAATAAACATCAGAAAGTGGTGAACTAGAACGGGGCCTATGACCGAGGTCTAGGTGCTCTAGAAAGACTTCTGAGCAAGTGACATCTGAGCTGAGAAATGAATGGAGGAGCCAGCCACAAATGCTTTAGACTATAGAAGCCACTTCTGCAAAGGCCCTGTGGCATGCCTGGGAAATCTGAGAACAGAGAGGAGGCCTGTAAAGCTGGAGTGACAGAGAAGGGAGGGGTGCAGGGGCAGAGCAGTCAGAATTTGGCTTTTAGTCTTAGCAATGGGATCCACTGAAGGGAAAAAAAAGTAGAGGGGTTTCTACAAAAAAAAAGAAGCCTGCTGGATACAGCGGCTACTTAGTAGGGCCTAGCCAGGCCTGAGCAATCTCAGGTGGCTACATTTATAGTGAATCAGAAAAAAAGTAAGAGGAGGAACTCAGAGTGGGAAGAGCCCTGGGAGACCTTTCAACAAATGGCCTCATTTGATGGTGGAGGAAACCGAGCTGCACCTTGGCTCTCTAGGCCCCAACTTCACTGTTTGTAAAGTGGACGAAAGAACAGCTCTGGGCTCATGACACTATGGACAGTAGCTAAGACGAGGAAAGAACGACCTGCACACAGTGGGCACGCCATGAACAGGGGTGTTGGAGGGTCACTATCGGTACCCACGAGGACTGGAACCCAGGGCTCTCAGAGAGCTACCCATTTGGTGCCCTCTGTCACCTTCTACTTCCTGGGGGTGAGGTGGGAGTTGAGGAACTGTGGGAGCAAGGGAGGCTGGTCTGCAGTGGTCTAAAGGCTCACAGACCGTGGCAGGCAAGGGAACAGCCTGGGGACAGCTCTGGGGAGAAGTGAGGAGAATTATCTGACTCACTGAGTTCTTACCCACTCTAGAGGCCAAAAGGGGGGCGACCTGCCTGGACACAGAACAGACCACTGGGCCTCATACCTTAAAGCTGCCCACACCAAAATGTGATCTTAGAGTTCCGGGGCCAGGGGGACTTCATCTGTATCTGCTCCCTTCCCTCCCAGAGCTTCACCAGGCTCCTCTGATCCCTACATGGGGCGGGAGACTCAGGGTGGGTCCCAAGGGAATGGTGGGACCCTCCTCATCACCACATTCCCCACAGACTTCTCACCCGCCACTGGGTGCAGGTCCTTTCTGGGAGTGGCAGGTCCACAGAAGCAGGCAGAGCCTCTGGGCAGCTTCCTCTTGCCTCAGACCCTGTCTGGGCCCAGCCTCACCCACTCACCCTGAGAGGTTCCCCTTTCGAGTACAGTACAGGGGTGCAGATCCTACTGTGCCTTCGACAAAGCGCCTGAGCTCAGGCTCAGGGTGACTGGGGGCCTGCCATCCTTCCTCAAAAGCAGTCTCTGAGAGTGAGCTGAGAAGTCCCTCTGGGCAGTTTCAGATGTCCCGTGAAGACTCAGGGCTGGGGAGGGAGCCCCTTGCAACTCCTGGGCCTAAGTTCCACTCCAGGGCAGGAGGGGCGGAGTGAGCGGGTCCCACTGGGTTTTCCAAATCGGAGGGTGTTGACTCCCCGGAAACCACCGAGGGGACGGCCTCCTCCCCCAGGACTGCAACTTCCTCTATTCGCAGGAGGTCCGGGCCGAGTGGAGGGGTGAAGAGGAGACAGCGGAGGGGAGGAAGGGACGGAAGCGCACGAGTCTGCCGAGTTTCCCGACCACCTCCGCAGCCCGCGGTCGGGGCTGGGAGGTGCCCCCAACCCCAGGCCCACCTCCTCGCCACGCAGCTTCAGGTCTCCGAAGGAGTCTCGGGGCCCCCACCCGCAGGCTTCAGCTCCCGCCTTTCGGCCCACAGCCTGGAGTCTCTGACCCCTCAGGACCTGAGCTCTCTCGCTCCGTTCCCAGCCCGCCCCATCCCTTGGCCCGCAGCCTGGGATCGCAGTGCCCCAACTGCCCTGGCCCGCAGCCTCGGGCAGCTGATTCCCCACAACCCCATCTCCAGACCACTTCCTTGGTCGAAGCCTGGGTTCTCGGCGTCTCCCGCCTCGCTCCGCGTGCCCAGCCCCGTCACACTCACTCAGGCCGGACGCCAGCGCCTGCTCGTTGGCCCACATGGCCCACTCGATCTGCCCCATAGCGGCGACCAACGAGGCTGGTCTCGGCTGGGACACTGAGGACCGTGCGTCCGCTGCCTCCCAGCCCCGAGTTCCGGCCCCGCCCCCTGGCGACAGGCAAGGCAGGCAGGGACACCGAGACTGGTTAGGTGCTCTGGAGTCCTGCCCGGCCCCGCGGGCCCTCTTGCTTGCCAGTCGGGGGGACTCCCCTTCACCTCCTCCAGCACCCTCAGAGGCACTGCAGGCCCCACCCACTTAGATGCCTTCTCGGTGCCAGTCGCTTTCCCTGCCAGCTCCCCGCCTGGACAACCTGGGGTGTCCCAAGCATCGCCTGAGAGACTGGCTGCGGGAGGGGTCGGGACAGTGAGGTGGACACCTGCTTCCGACGGCAGAGTCCCTCCAGAATGCTGAGCTACTGAAGGTGCCAACAGGGGCTTCTTTGGAAGGTGAGGCCAGGTTCCTAGAAGGGTTTAAAGGTCCAGAGCCTTCATCGTGTCCACTTGGAAAACTCCCCTCCAGGCAGAAGGGCCTCAGACTAGGAGCCTCAGGGCCTAGTGGAGTCCCTCTCTGGAAGTCAGTGCCTGTTACTAAGGTCCCCATTTCCTCATCTGGCCCTGGGCTAGTGCAGGTGTGGGGGGCAACTCTCTGCTCAGACTAAGGGGAGGGAAACAGTATGCAAAGCTTCTGGGAAAATCCAGAATGTAAGTGCTGTGTCCTGTTCCTTTTCATCTCCCTCCTCTGCCCACCCCCTTCAGGGTCTGCAGGAGCAGTGTCTGACCCTGTAGGGAAGAGGCTGGGAACCAGGAGGTGGATCAAAGGGGGCAGACATCCACCCCTCCTCTTCCTCTAAGCCAACTGTGTTGAAGCTGGGAAAGTGGGGAGTTCAATGACCTGTACACTAATGGAAAAACTCATTAAGAAGTGTGAGCCATTCCAGGGGTCCAGAACCCATAAGCTTCTGGGCTGAGGGGAGTCTTCCCTGATCACACTGCTCCTCCCTGCAAATCTGCTTCCCACTTTTTTTCATGTACTGGGAGCTTAAAGCCACACCCAAACCACATCCCCACACCAGTCAAGAGCCCTAGTGTGGCCCGTGGCCCCAGGGGTGCCTGTGTGCTTAACACCCACCACAGGGCTGGGCAATTGGAGGGGAGCTTTGGGTCAGACGGCATCATCTTCAGGAGCAAATCAGTAAGTGAGCAAGTTCCAAGTTCTCTTCCTGCAGAAGGCACACAGCCCGTGCCCTACCCAGTGCTGCTCACTGCCACACAGGAACTCTGGTTACATAGAATGCCAGACCCAATCAGCAATGCTGGCTTTATTCCCAGTGGCCAATTGATGGGGTTCTCATGTGACTGCACACCTTGGCTCCCCCACCTCCTGCCGGAGTCACATTCCTGGTCTTTTTATGAAGAAGCATTCCATCCACACCCAGTGGCTTGAGCTCTGGCAGAGGAGTTAGGACGGACATGTTCAAAGCACTCTGTGGCAGGCTCTTGAGGCTGCAGAGGTTGCTTCCTTCGCAGTGACCAGTCTTTGAGCTCCAAGGAGGGATGCCAATTCCCCACCATCTCTGGTGCCCAGCTCCAGCTGTGGGCAGTGGGAACTGCCCCAGTGGGAATAGGGCCAGAAATCCTTCACTGGGACACATGGCAGCTCACCCCCATCAGCTGGGTCCTCCAGGTCCCACATCCAATCCCAGCCCTCATCTCAGCACTTCATTGGTACAGGTGGGGAAGGTGAGGCACTTGGTGGGAGGCCCGCTTCTGACCACCTAGGTGCTTGCAGGTGGTCATTCCAGTGCCCCAACTCACCCACGGCACTCTGCTGGGCCTGGGACCTAGCGGCCACCCATCAGTCCCAACAAGCACACCCCTGCTGCTGCCACACCCGTCTCCCCAGTCCCAGCAAAGTGGCCCCTTCTCCAAGTGGTGGCCAGGACTCCTGTTGAGGATCAGCGGTCAAGCTGTTGGCTTTGGCAAGCCGTCGGGGCCCAGGAGGTGAGCATGAGGGTCATCCAGGATTTGAGGCCCGGGCCCTACCTGGCAGGTAGAGAAATCAATGTCAGGTCAGGGTGACAAGGAGAGACAGGCGTATTCCCACCCTCCCAGGTAAGTGCAGATCAGAAGCTGACCACCTGTGTAGTGACACCCTGACCCTGTGCCCAACTCCCTCAGGCAGAGCTGCATGGTCTCTCAGCCTCTGTCGCCCAGACTCAGGTGAAAGGACGAGATCGGGGCTTACACACAGGCCATGGGGACTTGGAATTACATAATCTGAGTGAAATCCCAGCTAACCCACTCTGAGCAGGGATCCTGATCCAGTTCCAGTGGATGAGCCCTGAGGGACCCTAGGTCTCCACATTCCTAGCCCCCCCTCCCCCCTCAGCACTAGGAACACTGTCCCACACGTCACAGGGTGTCCTGAAATGTCCACTTTGAGAGCAAGAGAGTGAAACGAACCACAGTGGACCAGATGCCTTGAAATCGGAAGTGCGCTCCTATATTTACTGTTATTCTTAGCAGCTCAGTTTTCTACCCCAGAAAGTGGGGGCGAAGGGAGCCCCTTCACCCAGACACACCAGGTCTGAGCCCTTGAGGCCAGTGTGCTGGACAGGGCCCTCCCCAGGTGTACTAGGTCGCAGGGGCCCCCAGGCTCCGGGGCTGGGGGCCAGTGCCAGGCCTCACCTGAGTGGCAATGATGTATTTGATGCCGCCGGGGGTAGGATCCATGCTTAGCGCAGCTTTAAGCTTGTCTGAAAGCGGGGCAGGCCTCACAGGCAGTCCCTTCAGAAACCTGGGGAAAGGAAGGCAGGAGTGTGCTGTGCGTCCATCAACAGGAGGTATGCAGAACTCAGACCCAAGATAGGAAGGGGTGTGACTACCCGTAGATACGGGGTTTCTTTTAAGGTGATGAAAAGTTCTGAAATCAGACAGTAGTGCTGGTTGCATAACACTGAACATACTTAATGCTGCTGAATTGTACACTTTAAAGTGATTAAAATGGTAAATTTCAAGTAATATGTATTTCACCATACACACGAAAAAACTGAGCAGCAATGACCAAGGGCCTGGCCCGGGTCACTGTGAGAGAAGGGTTTCAGGAAACCTACCCGAGGTTTTGAGTTCATCCCTGGCCTGTGGCTACTGCTCCGCCCAGTGGGGGTAACATAAGAAAAAATGCCTCAGTTCAAGAATGAGTCCATTACTGTGCTCCTCAGAACAACAAAACCTGCATATCACCCATTGGGGTGACAAAGGCAGTGTCCTAATGAGGACACTGACGGCCTCTGAGGCCATCATGGTCATGTGGTCTGTCCCATTCACTAAGGAAGTTAGTAATCCAGACTCCCGCCCACTAGACATCAGTACTGGCCCAGCAATGGTGACAGAAAACAACCCCACACACTTTCAACACCCCTAGCAGGAAGGCGTCTCCACATGGAGAAGGAACGATAAGAACAACAGATGGGAAGAAATCTGAATTCTCTGTCTCCACAGCGGGGCGGCGGGCACTGTCCACACGGAGCTGTGATGTTGCATGTGCGTGTCTCTGTGACTATGGGGCTGGGACATGTGATGAAGAGTCCACAGTCCCAGCAGAGCACACTTGGTGACACACTACCTGTGGTCTCCAAGGGGATCAACGCTTCCTGCAGGACTCCCCATTCAGCACCGTGGCCTTAGGTGTGGTCACCCTGATCCAGGCAGGATACCTTGCTCCTCCCTCCACAGCCTCCTAAATGGGGGAACCCACAACTCACTTGTCTCCATTTGACTCAAGGGGGAAACTATGCATCACAACAGCCACAAACTCAGCTACAGTGTCATCCAGGGTGAAAATCACGGCGTTGGGGCCTGCGTCAAACGTGTACGCCACCTGGAACCAGTGCAGTCAATGTGAATGTGTGCACCATGGCTCCACCTGACTTAGACCCCCGTGTCTGCCATGGAGGCCCGGGGCTTCCCACAGTGCCTGAAGTAGAGCAGTGGCCGCCAACTCAGGACAAGGGGTGGGGGCCACACCAGTACTTTAGAGTTCAGGCTGCGATCCCTTAGTGGGTCATGCAACCAAAATGAAACAGAGTGAGAAGGAAACTGTCAGCACCTTGTACATAGGAGCATAAATCAGGTTTCGTGGGATTTTGTCACAGACAAGCATGTGCTGGCTGGGATATGACGTGGTTTTACTGAAGCTCGTAGCCTAAAGCCCACTCTACGGGTTTCCTGTGCTGCCCCAGTCCCACCGTGCCTTGGTCTCTCCGTAGTGGGTGTTGAAGCGGTGCACCAGTTGGATGATGCGCCTGGAGATGTCGTTGAGGTAAGAGATAGGTGGGAAAGTATCCAGGCAGGTGGCATGGCACTGGTTGCTCTCCTTCATGGTCAGTTGGCCAAAGCCCTGGAAGTCCCTCTCTTTGATATAGTGGGTCATCTCTGCCATGTGAGCTGGCACCAGCGCCTCGGCCCGGAACTGTAAGGCACAGGAGTTTCCCAGTGAGGCACTGGCTGCTTCCCAGCCCATCAGCCAGAGCACACACTCCAGGTCAGAGGCCCCCACCCACTCCCAGGCCTTAGGATCTGTACACACATTCCGTACAGCAGAAGAGCTCAGCTTTGGAAGATGTGGGTGGAACCCGGTGCGTGTCCTGACATGCAGGTCACACCCTGGAGGACTGGCATCTGCCCCAGCACTGGCCTTACCTTGAGCAGTGGGCTGGTCTCCACGCTGGTCTGCATGCCCACTGTGCTGCTAATCAGCTTCTTCTCACTGTTCACCTGCACAGGGGGAGACAGAGCCTGGACCTTGCCCTAAATACCCATCCTGTCCTTCCCCTTGGCTGGTGTAGATAGCAGGGTGGGAGCCAGCAAGCCTCTTGCCCATGGAGGCCTCCTGACCACAGCAGAGATGACGCAGATCTGGGAATGGCAGTATCTAGATCAGCAGCCCCTACTACATGGGAGTCATTCCTGAATGTTCCACCAAAAGCCTCACCCCTCAGCAAACTTGAGAAGCAGGTGAAACATTCCTTCATCCTGCTCCCAGCTCAGCCCAAGAGGACCCCTCACTCCGCGGTAGTCACTTACCACAAGGATGAGGACTCGGAGTTCAGGCCAGTGCAACTCAGGGGCCACCTGCCGGGCAATGCTGTCCTTCCCATCAGCTCGCTCCCCCATCTGCCACTCCACAAAGCCGCCATACAGGCTCCGGCAGGCACTGCCAGAGCCCCGGCGAGCCACTTCTGAGAGATCACCCTCAACCCCGTAGACTTGGGCCAGGGTAAAGGCTGCAGGCACAGGACGGAGAGCAGGCAGGGGAAGGGGACTCAGATTCAGGAGGCAGGGGGTGCCAGGCCAGGCTGTGTTTAGCACCCCATAAGAATGTGCCCCACAGGAAATTATAAATTCCGAGATGACAATACTTCAGCCACCAGCTACTAAGGTTAGCATTCACTCGTTCACGTGTTTACATATTCAGTGTTCTCAAAGGTGCATGCCAGACATACAAAGACCACTGGAGCCTATTGAGCAAGAGGGGAACCACTCTTGGGGACTTGGAGGACTGAGAGCCGAGGGGCTGGAGTTTCTCCAAGGAATGGCACCAAAGGCTTTGAGAGGTGCAGAGGCACAGAAGCCTAAAGAACGTGCCCCCTCAGGTGGACCAGCATGTTGGACATGAAGGAGCAGGGCCAAGCCTAATCGAGGGTCTGATGCCAGGACTCAGAGCTGGAGTCCACGAAGCGAGCACTTTGTCCCAACACTGGCACCCCCTCCTGGCCTGGCTCACACACTCCCTGGTCCCCGAGGGTGGTTCAGGCATAGGCACATGAGCCAAGCTGACCCAGTAAGCATTATCCTGGGGTTTTCAATGGGCCACTGGTCTCAGTGGCTATGAGGACAGTGTGAGCCCAATGCCTACCACGGTGGTGACTAGCTTTGCCCCTAGGTGGGGAGGGCCTGCTGGAGAGTGAGCCAACACAGAATATAGCATGCCAGGGTTTCAAGGGAGAGAAATAGATGCCCAATGAGGCTACTGGAGAGTCTGGAGCCAGCTGCACCTGAAGCAGGCTGCACCCCTTGGAATTCTATTATGGAAGCCAAGGAATTATCCCTACTTTCGGCTTAAGACAGTTTGAGGTGGGCTTCTGTCGTGTACAATCTAAAGGGTCCAACACATAGAGCCCTTGGGAGATTTTAACCAAGGCCTCAGCCTCACGTGATGGTGGCTCCCTGAAGGCTGCAAGAGCATGAGTCTCCCTCTGGGCACCCACCTAGGCAGGCATAGCCTGCGGCTGAGGAGGCCAGGCCTGCGGCCGTGGGGAAGTTGTTCACCGATGCAATATGAACCTTGTAGCTGAGGCTGAGGGGTAGTGGGTCCTTGTCATCAGCGCTTCTCCGCTTACGGGCCAGGCGGCGGACTGCGGGGAATGGAGAGACAGCCACTGGGCAGAGCTGCCCCAAAATTCTCCTGCAGACCTCCTTGGGGAAAGCTCCAGACCCAAACCCAGCTGTGCTAATAGGCAACACCCCTATCCCAGGGGCTTGGGAAGCTGGGTGAGGAGCAAAGAGGCAGCAGCACTTGCTGTGCTCTTAGACCCCACCCAGAGCTAGGAAGGGAAGGAACAGACTGGATCTGGCCCCAACATCTCACATGCAACCCCTACTCACTCTCTCTCAGGCAGGCCTGGATGCGCGGCTGCCCTACATCCACCTTCTGGCCATTGAGCCAAATCTGGTCCTCGGTGAAATCCTTGCTAATGACAGCTGTCGTGGTGGTTTTTAACTGGAAAAGAAAACACAGGGTGACCTCACGTGCAGGGGCCCACCAAGCACTCCTTTCTGCTCAGGAGGCCTTTTTTGCCATGGCCCATCACAACTGCCCATTCAGGGACAGGGACAGCCTTGCTGGAGAACAGGAGGTCAAGACCAAGGCAGGAGGGGGTCAGGCGGTGGGTAGGCTCGGCCCCAGGCCTGGTCTCCCTACTCATCTCCCACAGCAGAGCCACTGGGCCAGGCATGAAAGTGAAGGGACAGGGCAGAGGCAGCCAGGGGTGTGGGCATGTGCATGTGTGTGAATGAGCATTCCTGACAGTGAGGCATGGAACGGACACTGTTCAAGGACTGGGGATTTATTGCTACCAACTGCTGAATGATAGGTTAACAAAAGTTTAGTAAATATTTATTTTGGTGTTTATTGCCAGTCCACACTAACCTGGTCCTGGTGTAAAGTGACACTCAGAGAGGAGTTGATGGGCAGGATCAGGTCCTCATCTCGCTTTCCCCCTGGAACAGACAACCCACGGCAAGGCCAGTCAGTTTCTCAGCCCTGTAAACCAGGGCGCTACTGCCCCAACCCACTAAAGGCCCACCCCTCCCCACTGGCACTCCCCAGTCACTCCCATTCCCATCCCACAGCTCCCCGATCTGCCTGAACCTTGCTCTCTCACTGCACAATCTAAGTCTTCTTCCTACTGAGCACCCATCTTCAGGAAGCCCTCCTAGATTGCTCCCCACTTCACTGAGTTCCAGGTCCCAGAGGAGAGCTGGAGGCTAGCCATCTCCGTTTCATTGTTTGTTTTACCTTCTTTCACTCATTTGACAAATCACCTTGGAGTGCCTACCAGGTACTAAGCACTGTTACGTGTTTGCTTTCTCTTACCAAACAGAAAGAGCCCCAGTTACTGAAATCACCTCAAATCTCCCTGCTCCTACTTCCTGGAGACACTCAGCATCAGCCCACCTCTACTTCTGCCTAGCACTTCCACTCCTGGCACCTCAAGACAAAGTGAACCTTCCTGAAAGTCCAAAATTTCAAAACTCTTTGTTAAGCAACATAGGCCAAAAAATGAACCTTGATCCAAGTCCTATACCTTACATGCACAAAACAAACACACACACACACTCAAAATGGATCACAGACTTAAATTTAAAATGCAAAACTATGAAAGTTTTAGGAAAAAAACTGAAAATCTTCAGAATGTAAGGCTAGGCAAAAAGATCTTACACTTGACACCAAAAGCATTATCCATAAATGGAAAAATAACTGGACTTCACCAAACATTTTTAAACTTTGGCTGTTCGAGAGACTCTATGAAGAAAATGAAAAGACAAGCTACAGAATAGGAGGAAATATTTGCAAATCACATATCCAACAAAAGACTGGTATCTAAGATATATAATGTACTCTCAAAACTCAGTAGTAACAAAGCAAACAATCCAATAAGAATATGGACAAAAGATATTTCACCAAAGAAGACACGCAAATAGCAAATAAGCCCATAAAAAAGTATTTAGCATCACTGGCCAGCAGAAAAACATGCACTAAAACTACAATGAGGTATCAGCTAAAACAAAAACCAGAGACAATACCAAATGCTGAAAATCAGGATCACATATATATTGTTGGTGGAAATGTAAAATGGTACAGCCACTCGGGAAAACAATTTAAGAGTTTCTTAAAAACTAAAGTCAATATGCAACTACCTCATAATTCAGCAATTGCACTCCAGGGCATTTAACCTAGAAGAATGACAAACTTTTGTTCATGTAAACACCTGTACACAAGTTTATAGTCGCTTTATTCCTAACAGACCAAAGCTGGTCTGCTGCCTTTCAAAGGATGTATGACTAGGCAAACTATGAACTGTCCACACCAGGAAAACAGGACTCAGCACTAAAGAAACTTAGTACTGATGCCGCTACCACCTGGACGAACCTCCAGGAATTACAGCGAGTGAAATGAGTCAATCCCAAAATGCCATCTGCTGAACGATTACATTTACGGAGCACTCTTGAAGAAAATACATGCTAGAAATGAAAAGTAGGCCCGAGGTGGTCAGGTGGGCGTGACCATAAGAGCTGAGTACCCCTTGGGGATGGATATCTGTGTGGACCATGTTCACCGAGAATCCAGGACTCCGGGAGGATGGACGTCCTACGTGGACAGTACCACCCCCCCGGGGGGATGGACGTCCTGTGCGGACAGTGTCCCCCAGGTGTCCTGGCTGCAGCGTAGGTCCGGGGCTCCGCAGGCCACACCGCTGGGCCAGGTGAAGGGCTGGGGTAAGTGCTCACAACTGCACCTGGACCTCCAGCTGCGTCATCACAAGGGGGGGTGAGCCCAGCCTGCCTGCCGCGGGCCGAAGATACGTCCAGCCCACCCGCGCCGGGCTGTCGCCCCCACGTCCACACTCCCGGCCCATGCACTCACAGTACTTGATGACCGCGATGTTGACTGGCGCGGTGCAGGTCACAGTCACAAGCGGCTTCTCAGAGGCCATGGCTGAATTACAAAATGACTCCAGCCCACAGCCATTAGCCTTTCCAACCCGCGGGCCCAGCCCGCCAGTCCATTGGCCCAAGCAACCAGCTGTTTTTACGTCGTCCAATCAGTGGCGGATCTGACCCACGCTCCACCTCTCAGCCAATGAACGTGATCTGACGATGAGCTGCAGACGCTGAGCCCGCCTCACTGTCCCCAGCGGACACGCGCCGGCCCTGCGCAGGCTCGGGGGTCGCGTAGGCGCGGGATGTGCGCAGGCGCGGGGAGGGGCCTTCCGGGAGTGCTAGCGGACCCGGTTAAGGACCCGGTTAAGGACCCCGCTGCGCGGACGCGCGCTTGCGTTAAACGTCCAGCGGCAGAGGAGACGGAGCAGTACCCGGGTGGCCGGCAGCTCCGGATGAAAGACTGGGCGCTGGCCTGTCCCCGGGGCCGAAAGTTAAGCGGTTCCTAGCTCAGCAGCTTGCGAGGCTCCCGGCATCCTGGGTCTGTCGCCCCTGGTCCTGGCGCTCGGTCTACTTCCGTGGCCGTGCAGCCCAGGTTTCCTTGTGGCCCCGCCACCATCCCCCTGCACCGCCCACTCCTCCTGACCAGTGCCAGTGAGGTGGGCTGCCAAGGGATGAACTGCTTCAGAGATAGGCGCTTTCAAACCCTACTCCCCTTTTTTAAGCTCTGTGAAAGCAAAGATTCTTTTTTCATGGTTGACATGGATTGCCACATTCATACATTTACATTTGCTTTATTCTTGTGGTAAAATGCACTTAATGTAAGGTTTACCAATTTAAGTACTTGAGTATACAGTTTTGTGGCATTGAGTACATTCCCATTGATGTGTAACCATCACCACCACCCATCTCCAGGACTTTTTCTTCATTCTAAACGAAGTCTTTACCCATCTAACAGTAATTCCTCATTTCCCCCTTCCCTTCATAAAAATCTACTTTTAGCTTTAAAATGGTTCAGAGTTCAGTCAAGATATTAATACGAAGTTTCCCACCCTGGCTCCTGTTATAGATCTTTGAGTATTTTTCCATCACCATTTTATGCATAATACAGCCATACTTTGGAGATAGTGCAGGTTCGGTTCCAGACCATTGCAATGAAGTGAGTCACACAAATACTTTGGTTTCCCAGTGCATATAAAATCATGTTTACACTATACCATAGCTTATTAAGTATGCGAAAAGCATGTCCAAAAAACTACATAATCTTAATTTTAAAATACCTTTTGCTAAGAAATGCTAACCATCATTTGAGCCTTAAGCGGGTTGTAATCTTTTTGCTGCTTGTCTCAATGTTAATGAAAATGCAGTATCTGTGAAACGCAAGAAAGCGAGGTATGCCGGTACAAGCATATAGCTTTTTCTCACCTTGTTTTTTTCCACTATGTGTTTCCTGGCGATCATCCCACTTCGGTACAGAAGAGTTCCTTGGTTTCGTTGTCTAGAGGTACCATATTCGTTCCCTCCCCACTGTGTTGTTACCTTTTATATATATAATAAGCTGCTTTTCCACACATTTTGTGCATATGTGGATATTTCTGTAGGGGCAATCCCTGGAATTGGAATCTCTGGGCCAAGTGGAATATGCCTGAAGTAATTCTGATAGCTGTGGGCAAGTTGCCTCTGGAAGGTGGGTGATTATTGCGGTATAGTGTGCCCATGCCTGGACCAGCAGTCGCCCCATGGGTGAAATATAGTATCTCGTTTACATTTGCATTTCAGATGATGATCATTTTAAATTTCTTTTGCTGTCACTTTTCTGTTTCATACAAAGCCAATAAAACTTCTTATGCATTACTATTATTATTTTTTTTTTAGGCGAGGCAACCCTTGGTTGACCTCACAGATTGCAAAGACCTTGTCAGCTTACAACCCTTTATTTTTTATTTTTTACGCCTACAGTATCTGGTCTTCGTAGGTGGTCTCCCATCCAAGTACTAACCATGCCCAACCCTGCCTAGCTTCTGAGATCAGATGGGATCAGGCTTGTTCAGGGTGGCATGGCCGTAGGCTATAAAACTTCTTTTGAAGAGTTGATGGTAGATTGCTTTGGACAATAGTCACGGTGTATTCTCTGAGCTATGGAGGAAAGGATTGAAGACAAGTCACCCATGAACCTCAGTAATTTATGGTAGTGATGGAAGGGAGAGCACAGATGTTTATTAAGCATCTGTTTTGTGCCACATACTGTGAGGTGTTTTACCACATCATGTGGGTAACTTTTTAATCTTGTTTATGATCAAAGGAATCAGGAGGTGGGGCTTTTGGGAGAGGATTCGGCAGAGCTGTCATGAATGGGATTAGTGCCCTTATATAAGAGCCCACAGAATTTCCTTGTTCCCTCCACCATGTGCGGGCACAGCAAGAAGACAGGCATCCATAAACAGGAATCAGGCTCTCACCAGACATGGAATCTGCCAGCACCTTGATCTCGGACTTCCAGCCCCCAGAACTTTGAGAAATCAGTGGTTGTTGTTTAAGCCCGCAGTCTATGATATTTTTTGTTCAAGCAGCCAGAACAGACTAAGACAGTATTATACATACATGATTTTAATAATCATTTATCAGACCCTAACCTCATTTGCTTGCCCCCAGGTTCTACTCATCAGAAGCAGCCACTTTCAAATCTTTTATTTCCACCCATGTTTCTAAATAACCTATTGTGGTTTCCTTCCTTCCTTCCTTCCTTCCTGCCATTGGAATCCCCTGGGTACTTGTTAGAAATGCAGACTCTCAGGCCCCACCTGACCGCCTGAATCAGAACCTGCCTTTCAACAAGCTCTCTAGATGATTTGTATGCATATTAACATTTGAGAAATACCATCCTATTAAGTATATTAAGTATATTCACATTGTTGTACAATGATCACCCCATCCACTTCCTTCCTTCCTTCCTTCCTTCCTTCCTTCCTTCCTTCCTTCCATCCTTCCTTCCTTCCTTCCTTCCTTCCTTCCTTCCTTCCTTCCTTCCTTCCTTCCTTTCCTTCTTTCCTTCTTTCTTTTTTCAGACAGCATCTGTTAATTACCACTAAGTAGAAATAAGGAATTCTCTTCCATCACAACCACATTCCTTTCTCCCCTATCCTCCCTATACAGTTAAATGGGTATTCCTTGCTTCCATTATTATGATTATGTAAACCATACTCACAGTTGAGCCATGTAGGCATAAATGCCTAATTATGTGCGTGTAGGCAAGGGCTCCCTTATTTAGTATAGAACCTTGAATGGACAGCCCCCTGAAAGAGGGCTAGACATAGATCCTCATGCTGTTCCCTTCAGCCCAGGTCCTGAACAGTCAGCCTATGCACATGTATAAAAAACTCATTGTAGGGCCTCTTTGGTAAATAACTGTGAAATACTTTTTTTCTAGTTTTAGATTTTGTCAAATAGGTTGTGGGTTAATGCCTTTTGAGTGATGGTACAGGTGATAAACCAAAGGCAGGGACTTTAAAATACACGTCCACACGTTATTCTAATTCCATTATGGAATGTTTCAAAGGGGATAGTGGTAGGTGCAGGAAATATAGGAAATAAAGCTTGAAATTTTAAGGCTAAGGAGCAAGAACAAGTATGTTACACTCCTGCTGTAAGCCTGAAGCATCTTCCGCAGTCCTCAGATTTGTTTTGAAGCATTTTTTAAAGTTTTGTTTTGAAGCATTTTTAAAATTGTGGTAAAATATGCATAACGAAATTTGCCATCTTAACCATTTTTAAGTGGACAGTTCGGTGATATTAAGTATATTCACATTGTTGTACAATGATCACCCCATTTATCCACAGAACTTTTTCATCTTCCCCAGCTGAAACTCTGTCTCCATTAAACAGTAACTCTCCATCCCCCTCCCTTAGCCCCTGATAACAACCATTATGTTTTGTGTCTCTATGAATTTGACACCTCTAGTAACCTCATATAAATGGAATCATACAGTATTTGTCCTTTTGTGTCTGGCTTATTTCACTGAGCATAATATCCTCAATGTTCATCCATCTTGTAGCATGTGTCAGGACTTTGTTCCTTTTTAAGGCTGAATAATATTCCATTGTATGTATAGACCCCATTGTGCTTATCCATTTATCCATTGATAGACATTTGGGTTGGTGTCACTTTTTGGTGACTGTGAATAATGCTGTGAACACGAGTGTGCAAATATCTCTTCACATCTCTGCTTTCATTCCCTTCAGATATATACCCAGAGGTGGAATTGCTAGGTCATATGGTAATTTATTTTTAATTTTTTAAGGAACTGCCATAGTGTTTTCTGTAGTAGCTGTACCATTTTACATTCCCACTAGCAATGCAGGTGGGTTCTGATTTCTCCACAGTTTTGCCATTTTCTTTTTTTAATAATAGCCATCCTAATGGGTGTGAAGTAGTATCTCATTGTGATTTTGATTTTCGTTCCCAGATTTCCTTTTTTTTTAGGTTATCTCCCAATGTTGATGAGAGACCAACTAGGATGGTGTTTCTCAAATGTTAATATGCATACAAATCATCTAGAGAGCTTGTTGAAAGGCAGGTTCTGATTCAGGCGGTCAGGTGGGGCCTGAGAGTCTGCATTTCTAACAAGTACCCAGGGGATTCCAATGGCAGAAGCTGCTGGTCCCATGGCCATACTTTGAGTAGCAAAGATAGATGACAGAGAGCATGGGCTTTGGAGTCAGGCAGATCTAGTGTCTTAAGTAAGTTTCTTAACTATAGTGCACCTCAGTCTCCTCATATGTGAAATGGAATAATGCTCCCTGCAGAGCTGTTGTAAATTGCCAAGCTCAGGGCTCCAGCACAAGCATAGAATAAATAAGGCGCTTCATCAAAACTGCTACCTAGCCCTTCCATGTTGGGACGAGAGATGAGACCAAGATGCCGAGTCAGAGATCAAGAAGTGGGGGTCCTTGTGTGCCATTATCAAGCACCGTATATGTGACAGGGGCCCAAGGGCCGAGGGTCCTTCCTGACTTGTTCTGCCAGCCTTTTGTGCCTTGAAGTTACAGAAAGTGTGAGGGAGGTTGCCTGCTCATTCAGTAAACACTGGTCACGTGCCTGCCATGCTTCTCACTGCTTTGCTAATTGCAGGTACACAGTGTGATGA